ATAACAACAATATAACGAACAGATAACTAACAGATAACACATAAACTGGCCGTCCAAAAGGGCCCCCAGGTTCAGAGCCATGGAGCCGACAAGCTCGAACCTACAAAGTGTGACACTGCCTTACCCACACTGAACCTCAGGATGCCCACTTCCTCCTCCATCTTTTGCCGCTGCTGTGAAAGAAATAGGAAAAACCCTAAACTAGGGTGGGAAAACTAACAGGTAAGTTTAGGTTTAGTTAAAATGGCCACTTCATAAAATGGCCGATATATATACTCCTATTAAATACCCGTCCCCCAGCTTACCAGCTGTCAATCAATTTCAATCAGTTGTTATGCCTACCTCCTGGCTCTGTCAAGGCCCACTCCCCCAGCTGTACATTTCCATGGGCTACATTTCGAATGCAGTGATGTTACTCTAATCAGCAGATATTAAATCTGAGTACCCCCTAAGACCCTACAAGCCCAATTCTTAATGGGCTTCTCACCCTAACCGTTGTGGAGACATGTCAAATTCTGCTTTCATGACCGACAATTTATAACAATGGCATATATTTAAAACTGAAAAATGATGGCAAAATTGAGGGTTAACTCACTCACTGAGAGATACACACTGGCAAACACATATACAACACTCACTGACAGACATATATGCACTTAGGGTCAGACACACACATTGACTGACAGATGCACATACATTAGCTGACAGACACACACTGACAGACATACAAATTCACTGACAGACACACACTCAGTGACAGACACGTATACACACACTGCTAGACACACACTCTCAATGGCAGTTACACACATACACACTCACTGACAAAGACGTATCCACTCTCACTGATAAACACACATACACACTCTGACAAACATACATACACTCTCAGTGACAGACACACACTCACTAACACACGCTCTTACTAACAGACACACACTAATACTCACTAATGCACACTAACACTCACTAACACACACACACTCTCACTAACAGGCACACACACACTCACTAACAGAAACACACACATTCACTAACAAACACACACTAACGCATTCACTAACAGACACACACTAACACTCACTAACAGACACACACTAACTCTCTCACACACACACACTAACACACTCACTAACAGACACCCACACTAACACACTTACTAACAGACACACACATACACTCACAATTTAAAATTTAAAACAACTCAAGTTTAATCCACCCTCCCTTTGGGAGTGCTGCAGTGGATTCTTCACTGTGGTCCAGTGGGGCTGTTCTTCAGCTCGGTGGCAGACAGTCTGGCAGGTGCAGAGTGGAGGCGAGGGAGCTCTGATCCTCCTGCTCAGCTCCCTCGCGCACCTCTTAGTGATGCTGGGGCCTGAGTGATGTCATATTCCGGCTCCGGCATCATTGCGGTGCGCAGAGCTAATGCCTTGCCAGCCTCACGGTAGATACACCGCTGGTGCAGTTTACTAACAGACCCATAGTCTGAGCACAGCTGAGCAGGTACTCAGCAAGTTTGAAATCCCCTAATGAACCCTCCTTTACAATCCTGGGTTAAACATGTCCAGCATTTCAAAATTCTTAGACCAGAATGAGCGGGTTCTGATTGGTCAAGTCATTTATTGGAGCAATCAAAGTTCAAGGCCTATGGTCTCGCGCACGAAGATATCCACAAAACAAGGAGCTTTTAAAATCTTTCATTTGATCTTTTTTATTATGTTGTATGGATTTGTATTTGTATAATTTGAGGGGACACTGCACTGCCTAACTAAAAAAAAATAAAAAAGCACTGTTTAGTAGATATACTCCAAATGAAATCTGATTCTATTTAACCTTTTCAATCTTTATGTGACCTTGAATTGTTGTCCATGTAGTTCCTTTTTTTGTTGTTTTCTTGACCTCTGCTGTGTCTGGAGCTCTTGGAACTTGATCTAAAATTAATCTTTAAATCAGAATGTAATATTGTAAAAATGTAGCAGAGCAAGCTAGGGAGAAGCTCCATTCATCAAGTTTTGGAAAAAAACAACCGAACCATTCTAGAGCAGGCTTCCAAAAATCACTCACACTTGAACTCATCAATCACTTTCTTCTTAACCTGGATTATTAAGCAGCTCCTGCTAAGAACTATTGCACACACTATGACCCATTCACTTACAGCTTATCGCCATTTAGCAAAGACGGCTGCAGGTCACTGAACGCATCTCAGCGATGAGCACCACGATGAAATGGATGGGATTCCTACTGAGACGGAAGCAGACATATCATTCTCTTTATCCTGACCTTATCAATGGTCCAATCACATTCAGTGTATGATACTGTTTCATAAAAGACGTCTCTATGAGATCATTTTATCTGGCTATGGAGCATTTTTTCAGCCTAACTATTTAGACCAATATTTTCTTAGACAATTTCCATTTGTGTTTAGTGGGTCATTTGCTATATTGATAGCCTTCATATAGATACTTTGTACATTGTTGCCCGAAAGTCTGTTTTAATTCGATAGCAACCTGATGGAGTATTGAAATAAAATGTCTATACGTGAAAGTTGTTAAAGAAAATCCAATTTGCAAATAATGGAAAACGAGATCCATAAAATTTAGTTCGATATAGCTGGAGTTATTCACTAATATCAGCATTGTCAGAAACAGGAAATGGAATATTTTTATCAGTTCAAGAACCTTTACTTAAAGTAGAAAGGACTTTTAGCCACTTTAACTTGTCCAACGCACAATTAGATGTATTTCAACATTTTGGATTTGACTCATTTTTCTTTGTCTTGTTCAAAGACAGACCATTTGCATGTGTATATTGCATATTACAGAGACACTATAGTGTAGTAGAGCTAAACTAGCTCTAGTGTGAATGGCATACAGCCGTACAATCCGCCCGCTTGTAGGATACAAGGATACGCTTGTAGGATTGTACCGCTGTATGCCATCCACACTAGAGCTAGTTTAGCTTTAATACACGTGAGTATGATTACCATAGACCCATTCTTCCTGCTATCCAACTTTTGTACTAGACGTATTGCACTATTATCTTCTCCTCTCTTTATATACGGATCCTGGGAAGCTGTCTCCATTTGATCCATACAGAGAATATTCCTCTACATAGGCCGTTGGTGTCCCATCAGGCTTTAATAAAGACTTTTTTTTTTGGTATCTCTCTTTTTTAAAGGTTTTTTCTTAAGATTTACCACTATATTTTGGACTTTGTTCACAATTAGTTGTACTATCAGTCAGATATGGCGCAACCTTCATTTGTCTTGTCTTTTGTACTATCCTTGTTTATAGGGCTTAGAGGGAACCCTATTTTTAGGTTTGCTGCCTCCTACTCTCCCCATTTATTGTATTGGTTTATTTTAGCGCTGTTCCCTTTGTCTGTATATTCCCATTGGGTTCTAATTGTGCGGCTGGGTGGCCGCCGTTTGTATGCGTGGGAATTGTGTGGAGGACATCTTGTTTGCGAGAAAGCAGGCAGCGGTGTTCGGGCGTCGATCGTGTGGAACTAAAATCGGACACTGAAACTCCTGAACACCGCTGAACTTGGACGAATGCCTGCTCCTTCCCCACACATGTCAGGAGAGCGCCTTTTGGGTAGGTTCGTTTGTATGGTTCAGAGTGTACGTTCTTTTTATTTCTTTCACATGGAACTCCTGAATTTGATCGGCCAAAAGCACAAAAATCCTTGGAACTGTTATGGGCATAGGACCATGTGTGCTGCTGGCAGAATTCCACATGGTGGCATTTCGGCTCAGTTCGTGGGATCTGAGCGCTTTTAGGATATGTTGGGCGCTCAGATCCAGGCTATCCGGGGATGTATAGACTGTGGGGGATCTTATGTGGGAAATATGTGTTTTTATGGTTTTTATATTTGTTACTGTATTTTCTGAGTCACAATGACAATGCATTTTTGCATCTAAATACTATACATTAAGCTGTATACCGTAAATTAAGCTGTATACTATGCATTAAACTGTATATTACACATTAAGCTGTATACCGTACATTAAGCTGTATATTATACATTAAGCTGTATACTGTACATTAAGCTGTATATTATACATTAAGCTGTATACTGTACATTAAACTGTATATTACACATTAAGCTGTATACCGTACATTAAGCGGTATACTGTACATTAAGTTGTATACCATACATTAAGCTGTATAACGTACATTAAGCTGTATACCGTACATTAAGCTGTATACTGTACATTAAACTGTATATTACACATTAAGCTGTATACCGTACATTAAGCTGTATGCCGTACATTAAGCTGTATACTGTACATTAAGCTGTATGCCGTACATTAAGCTGTATACTATGCATTAAGCTGTATACTATACATTAAGCTGTATACTGTACATTAAACTGTATATTACACATTAAGCTGTATACCGTACACTAAGCTGTATACCGTACATTAAGCTGTATGCCATACATTAAGCTGTATATTATACATTAAGCTGTATACTGTACATTAAGCTGTATGCCGTACATTAAGCTGTATACTGTACAATAAGCTGTATACCGTACATTAAGCTGTATACCGTACATTAAGCTGTATATTATACATTAAGCTGTATACCGTACATTAAGCTGTATACCGTACATTGAACTGTATACTGTACATTAAGCTGTATATTATACATTAAGCTGTATACCGTACATTAAGCTGTATACTGTACATTAAGCTGTATACCGTACATTAAGCTGTATATTATACATTAAGCTGTATACTGTACATTAAGCTGTATATTATACATTAAGCTGTATACCGTACATTAAGCTGTATATTATACATTAAGCTGTATATTATACATTGAGCTGTATACCGTAGATTGAGCTGTATACCGTACATTAAGCTGTATATTATACATTAAGCTGTATACCATATATTAAGCTGTATATTATACATTGAGCTGTATACCGTAGATTGAGCTGTATACCGTACATTAAGCTATATATTGTACATTAAGCTGTATACCGTAGATTGAGCTGTATATTGTACATTAAGCTGTATACCGTACATTAAGCTGTATATTATACATTAAGCTGTATACCGTACATTAAGCTGTATACCGTATATTAAGCTGTATATTATACATTAAGCTGTATACCGTACATTAAGCTGTATATTATACATTAAGCTGTATACCGTACATTAAGCTGTATGTTATACATTAAGCTATATACTGTACATTAAGCTGTATACCGTAGATTGAGCTGTATATTGTACATTAAGCTGTATACCGTACATTAAGCTGTATATTATACATTAAGCTGTATACCGTACATTAAGCTGTATACCGTATATTAAGCTGTATATTATACATTAAGCTGTATACCGTACATTAAGCTGTATATTATACATTAAGCTGTATACCGTACATTAAGCTGTATGTTATACATTAAGCTATATACTGTACATTAAGCTGTATACCGTAGATTGAGCTGTATATTGTACATTAAGCTGTATACCGTACATTAAGCTGTATATTATACATTAAGCTGTATACCGTACATTAAGCTGTATACCGTATATTAAGCTGTATATTATACATTAAGCTGTATACCGTACATTAAGCTGTATATTATACATTAAGCTGTATACCGTACATTAAGCTGTATATTATACATTAAGCTATATATTGTACATTAAGCTGTATACCGTAGATTGAGCTGTATATTGTACATTAAGCTATATGTTATACATTAAGCTGTATATTGTACATTAAGCTGTATACCGTAGATTGAGCTGTATACCGTACAGTAAGCTGTGTACCGTACATTAAGCTGTATATTATACATTAAGCTGTATACTGTACATTAAGCTGTATATTATACATTAAGCTGTATATTTTACATTAAGCTGTATATTGTACATTAAACTGTAGTTGTTCTGGTGACTATAGTGTCCCTTTAATTTATCAAGGTAGTTAGACTGAAACTCTGATTTTATACAAATGCACGGATTAAAATAATCTGCTCTTTTCTCTATGTCGAAGCCCTGTAAGAGCTTTGTTTCATGTTAGAGTAATAGTTTTATTTATATTTAAATTTGAAGTTATCTTTTCCGTCTCTGTATCAGCACACTATGCTGGCGTAACGCATTATTGGGTCGGTATGGAATTCTCTATTCTAACGCAGCTTTCCCTTCCCAGTCTGGCTCTTACAAAATACTTATTTCAGTCAGTCACCTGTTCATCAGTCCTTTGCGTATTGTTCACCCATCTCCCGTTTGAGCCATTAAGGGTTAAGTCTTTGAGACAGACTAATGGCATTTTAGAGTCTTTCAAGGGCAGCAGTAAAATCTCAGGGGGGACCACGCTGCAGTCATAACAGGTACACAGACTGAGCGTATCTAACACTTTCACAGGGAAGAAATATTTCCTGAGGTTTAATTAACTGAGCAGGCAACAGAAGGACTTCAAAACAGGAGAACGATGTTGGAAGCTATTATATTTAATTAAGTTTTTCTGCTGAAACCTATCTAATCATCAGTCTTCCCACTTCCTTCCTTAGGACAAATATTACCAGTTTCATTTTCTTTCTTCGAGTTTATTGGCAGAGAGCTCACTATTTTTTACGGTTCCATTAGAAGTTCATTTCTGGGGACTGTATTTCGAAGCTCTCATAGTATTAGTAAATGAATTAAGATACGACAGAAGATGTTCCATGTTAATATTTCTATATGAGATTCTCATGCATCCAGTCACAGGAGACAAGGCGTATTAATAAAGTCTCTCTAAACACGCGGGATTTCTTTATAAAGATGTCCTAAAAGTGGAACCTTCAGCAGGTTTCCATGGTGAATGCTTCACTTTTAGAACTTAAAGTTCTTTGTTCATAACCGCCAACGAGATGACTTCACACATCATGGTGTGGGTCTAAAAAACTACACTAACCTCAATTTAAAGGGACACTTAATGTATAGCATACAGTTTAATGTAGTGGTTCTGGTGTCTGTACTATGTCCTTGCAGGCTTTTCAAAGTAAATGCTATATTTTCAGAGAAGCGGGGAACCCATTGCCCCAATTTTTACCCCTCTATAAATAATAAGACTTGAAACGTACTTGGTGACAAACAGGACACATTTGGACTAACCCATTAGTGACCAGAACATTTTCTTACCGTTTGGGACCAGGGCTGTTTTTCCATTTCTGCGGTGTTTTTGTTTAGCTGTAATTTTCCCCTTACTCATTTACTGTACCCACACATATTATATACCGTCTTTCTCACCATTAAATGGTCTTTCTAAATATACCATTATTTTCATCATATTACATTATTTACTATAAAAACAATCATAAACTATGACGAAAATTAAAAAAACACACTTTTTCTAACTTTGACCCCCAAAATATGTTACGCATCTACAACCGCCAAAAAACACCATTGTAAATAGTTAATAAATTTTGTCCTGAGTTTAGAAATACCCAATGTTAACATGTTCTCAGCTGATATTTTTCTTTTAATTAATTTTTTTTTTAGCAAAAATAATATATTCTTATAATAAAAGTATAATAATGTTATGCAGTCAATATTTAAGATATTTCATTACTGAACATCGATGTAGTGGGGCTGAAACATCAACTTCAATCTGCTGCATATTTGCATAAACTAAATAGTTTGGGATTTTTTAAAGTCCTTGGAGTGGGCTTCTTAGTGTTAAAAATATCTATTTACATTTTTTTTTTAATTTAAATTTCTTTGATCACTAAAAGATAACAGGACACATGAAACATACAAAAACAAGCATGACACAATAGCGAGGAACTCAAGGTCTCAGCATTATTCCACTGATTTTTAAATAATAGTGACTAGGATTCCCTTTTTTGGGCATGTGCAGTAGGGCTGTCTGCTTCTATGAAGGGGTCCGGCCTTAGGTCTTGTAGCGCCTCATCGCTCTTGTCATTTTAATGCTGTGAGCCACGGGCTTCTCTGAGGCACTTAGTGAGATAGGTAGTTAGCTTACTAGCCTTCGTAAGTGGTAGTGCTTCGCTTGAAAGGTTATTGCTTGAGTGGAAGGCCTAGGATGTGGGATGCGGGTGCATGGGTGTGCTTAAAATGGAAAGGTAATACACTTTAGACCTTTGCATGTTTTATGATAGGGGGAGTGGGGAGTGGGATATAACTTAACACAGGGCTAGTCCAGCAGCTTACGGAGCCAGTTTAAATATAAGGAAGGGTCTGGGTGCATAATCAGCAGGTCTCGGCGACAGTCAGTCTTGGGGACCACGAACAATGTGAACTAATAATATGGGTATCCGAAGGTGCCACCTTCAAGTGAGTGAGGTGTTCATCTCATGTCCCCTTCTGGGTACGAAAGGAATGATTCCTTCAACCATCCATGCATGGACGATCCGTCTGTAGTGCCTTCTCCGCTGGTATGCCTAGCTGTTGAAGGAAAGTAGGTGCTTCTGAGAGGTATGTCAATGTGTGCAGCTTGCCGGCTTTATCAACCAAGATTCGGCGTGGGCCCCACTTATAGGGGATAGAGTGCTTTTGCAGTAGCTGGGTGACTTGCTTGAGGGATCTTCGCCAGGTGTGTGTCTGGAGAAGTCCCGAAGAAATATCAGCTGTGCCCCCTCAAACAACACCGTAGAGGAGCTTCTCACAACCCCCATGATTGCTCCACGGTCAGAGTCCCGGGTCAGTTTTAGCAGGATGTCTCCACTTGTTTTACCTGTTTGGGCATTAGCAATGTGGTGATGAGCCTCCGGTAGTAGTGGGGAAGTTCTGCTCCTGCAACCGTTTCCAGTACCCCCCTGGATTCTTAGTTTGTGGACTCTGGCTCTGTCCTCCATGGTGGCTATCTGCGCCTGTTGGTCTGCACACTGTTTTTGAAGTGCACCTATTGTGGTATCTGTGCCCGATTGTGCCAGTTTGGTGCCCTCCATGCCTTCCTCCACAGATTGCACTTTGTCTGTGAGTTTAGTTACCGCCTCCCGGATTGGGGCTATGTCTGCACTAAGCATAGTTTTGCGGACCACGAACAGTGTGACCCCGCTATTCAACTCCAAGGGCACTATAGAGTTAATAGGTCCCCCCTCCCTCGCGCCCCCCTTCCGTGGGACTGAAGGGGTAAAAACCCATTTAGCCAATTATCTGAATCCAGTGCTGATGTCCCTCGGCGCTGGGTCAGGCTCCGCCCATGCTTCTTCCCCGCCGACAACAGCAGAAAATCTGGTAGACAACCACAGAGGGCAGACTTCGAGCTGCAATGTAAACTAAGTGCAAAAGGGTCACAGAACCCAGACCACTTCAATGAGCTCAAGTTGTCTGGGTGCCTACAGTGTCCCTTAAGGGATTTCAGAGAGGGAGGTTGCCACAGGATTCGCTGACATCGGTATCTTTTGAAATTCTGCAAGGTTTGCTTGGAGTCCTTCCGGGGGATTGTTTTTCAGAATATGAAGTTCTGTTGCTTTCTGTAGCATTTAGTTGGGTATTATTTGGGGCATTTAGGATTAGTGAGTTGGTCAGCAGCAACCGTTTAGGTTCAGGTCGGTTACAGTGTTTGGATGTTAAACTTTGGCAGAATCGGGTAGTGATTCAACAGACGTTTTTTAAAAAGGTACCGCGGTTATGCTTTTTTCTGTGCCAGGGTTGGCTCTGTGTCTGGTCTCTTGTACTTCGGCTTTTCAGGCAGTCCATTCGGGTATAGGTGGTTCTATTTTTTATTGCATGCTGATGGTTCTTCGTTATCAAAGTTTCCGTTCCTTAGGGTCTTTCAGTTGGC